GACGCCCACTGATATCAGGACTCGTCGCCCGGCTCTCTCGCTGGACCACCCCCTTTTGGGTCAACCGTGATTGGCACGAACGACATGGGTACGGAAAAAGTGGGTAACAATGCCCAACAGCAGTTCCTGTTCATTTTGAACAGGACTCGCTGTCGGTGTCGCTGCGGCCTGTGCCCATTCGAGACGGAAGGCCGCCTGCCCAACAGCGGCCGCTGTTGGTCTGGGGCAACCTTTGTTGTTGGGCATCGCACCCGCTCTTTCCGTACCCCCTCCGGGCGTCCGAGCGTGAGCTCGCTTCGTGGCGGCGAGGGCCGGCGGCCGCGCGGGCGCCGCCAGCAGGAGCGGCCGAGCGGCCGCCAGCACCGCCAGCGGCAGCGCCAGCGCGGGCGCGGCGCGGCGCCGCCGGCGCATGGGGCGCCCGCGGACTCGCGCTGGACGAGGATCGACCCAAACCCCCTCGCGGAATGACCCCAAAAAATCACGACGGGAGGTTTTTCGCTATTTTCGGCCTCTGGGGGCCCTTCCTGGGCCTCAGGACCGTCCAAAAAGGACTCGGGACGAAAAACTGGTCCCGGGGAATGGGTGGAGACCTCGCGGGGTCGACGCAATGAAAAAGTCATGACCTCGGGGGTCTGGGGACGACGATCGAGACAGAACTCGGCGGCGAGCGCGGGGGGAAAGTGAGAAGGAAAAGGCCTTCTCAGAAAGCTCGGAAGGCCACCAGCCTTGTGAGAAGTCTTCTAAGCTTTCCCCGAAGACACAGAAAACTTCTCAGAAGGCGCGAGGCCTTCTGAGAAGTCCCGCCGTCTTCTGGGAAGGCCTTCCCCTTCTCATTTCCCCCCCTCGCTCGCCGCCGAATGGGGCGCCCACGGACTCACGCAAGACGACGATCGCGCCTGATGAGCAGCGGTATCGGCACCCTCTTGCCCCCCAATCAAAACATAGAAGGGGGGCAATGCAACCAGTAGTGTTCTGCCGCTGTGGGGGACTTGGGAGAGGACGGCCAAAGAATCGCGACGACGACAACGACATCCACGAGCAGGCCAAACACGAATGTACCCATCCATCGCCCAGGGCCCGCCGCCGCCGCCGCTGCCGCATTCGTCGTTGTCGTCGTCGTCGTCCTCGTCGTCTTCGTTGTCCTCGTCGTCGTCGTCGTCGTTGTCGCCGTCCGTCGAGGTTCGCGTGACGGCCCGCCCACCCCGGGGGCATGTCTTGGTCGCCGTCCTGCACACTAACAGGGCCTGTCGCGCGGGCGACGGCCGCACGCGCAGAGGGGATGGGGCCAACGGGCCTCGGATGACGCCACGGGTGCGGAGCGCGCCCAGCGGCCTGCGCAAGGAAAGGGGTCCCGGTGGCGAGGACGAGGATGGTTAGCGGCGGTGCTGCGCTGACCTGGCGGCTAGCGAGACCTCCGGCGCCGTAGTGTTTGCTCACAGCGTGGGGGCTTAGCATGGGGGAAGCGGGTCCTGAGGAGACAGGTCCTGGACCCTGGGGCCTTCCCCCGGGCCGAGATCTTCATGCGGAGTCGTTTTCTGACAGTCCCAGGGCCCGTACCCGTGGCGGGCCCCGAGAGCCCGAAGAATGCGACACATCTCAGGACCCGTTTCCTATAGGACCAATTCCCCCCATAGCGAGAAATCTCGACCCCTTCCCGAGAACCGGTCGTTCCTTCCGAATCGGTGCCTGACGGTGCGGCCGGGGCCCCTGGGAGGCCGGAAGCCATCTGCCATTCCTTTCTTTTTTCGCAGCGCGAGGAGGCCTGGGCGTATGGTCCGGCACCGTGCCACTCCATGGCACAAAATGACGTGATCTTGTGCCACATATTGCCTGGCGGGGGCTCCCATTGCCATAACTTCTTGAGGCCGCCTCTCCCTGGCGCTCTCCGAAGCCTCTAAGACGCGACTGTGATGGTTCTTGTTCCCAAGGCGGCCAGAGAAGGCATCCACGATGCTCAAGGGCATTCACATTGACTCGACAGACCCGAAATGAGGGGGCCCAAAAGATTTTGCATGGGGCCCAAATATACAGCCGAAATGCAAAAAACATGTTCTCAAAGTGTGTTGCCTGTTACCTGTGTTGGCTCAGAAAAGTATCTGGCCGACCAAGCCATGACCCAAGACGGCAACGGAGCACCCAAACAAGCAACCATAAAGGCCAAGAGGGGTCCCAACAGGACTCCGCGAGAGTTCAAGAGTGCCTCTGCAGGGATCCCACAGTCCGACGAGGGCCCCAAGTCGATTTAACCCCAAATACATCCCACTAGTCATTCTAACATCTTCCCATTCCTCTCCATCTCTGTTCGTTTGTTGTGTTGTCATGCTTGACTGTCGTCTCTCGTTCTCATGTTAGAGATGGGCAGATACAGAGATGTGCATACTGTATGTATGTATGTATATATATATATATATATATATATATATATATATACATAAGAGAGCGTGATCCACCGCCGCTTTACTGTGGAAAATTGCCAACTTTTTCCTCTGGAACCCGGGGGTCGCCCCCCCCTCCCCCTCCGAACCCACCCCCCCCCCTGCTGGAACCCCCCCCCCCCCCCCCCCTCCCCCGGCAAAACCCCCCCTCCCCTAACCCCTCCCCCCCCCCACCCCCCCCCCCTCCCGCTCGAAAACCGAGGGGGTCACTACCGGTTCGAACCCCTCCCCCCCCCCCCCCCCTCCGGATCCGGGTTCGAACCCCCCCCCCCCCCCCCCCCCCCCCCCCCCCCCTACTCACCGCCAGCAAACGACTCCCGGTCCCCACCACCGTCCGCATCACATCCCCCACTGGTGTTCCCAGCACCACTGTCCTCACCACCGCTGTCCCCACTGGTTCCACCACCGCCCCTACTGTCCCCACCAGTGGCCCCACCACTGTCGCACTGTCCCCGCTGTCCCCAGAACTGTTCCCACCACGGTTCCACTCTCCCCACTGTCTCCACGGCCCCAACCACTGCCCGACTATCCCCACTGTCCCCACTGACTCCTCCGCTGTCCCACTGAGCTGTCCCACTGTTCCCACCACTGTCCCCACTGTCCCCACCACTGTCCCCACTGTACCTCTGTCCCATTGTCCCACCGCCGTCCTCGCCACCGCCTTCACCACTGTCCCCACCACCATTGTACCCTCCACTGTCCCACTGTTTCCACCTCATTCCCATTGTCCCCACACCACTGTCCCCACCACCACCGTCACCACCACTGTCCACTGTCCCCCCCTGTTCCCACCATTGTCCCCACCACTGTCCCCACCACTACCGTCCCCACCACTGTCCCACTGTCCCACTGTCCCCACCACTGTCCCGCTATCCCCTCACCACTGTCCCCACCAACACCGTCCCCACCACTGTCCGCACCCCCACTCGGTTTTCGAGGGAGGGGGGGGTTCGAACCGGTAGTGACCCCCCCCGGTTTTCCGGATCCGAGGGGGGGGGGGGGGGGGGGGGAGGGTTCGAACTGGAACTGGTAGTGACCCCCTCCCCTTTTCATGATGAGCAGGGGGGGGGGGGGGGGGTTTCGAACCGGTAGTGACCCCCCCGGTTTTCGGAGGGGGGGGGGGGCCGAGGGGGAGGGGGGGGGGGGGGGGGGGGGTTCGAACCGGTAGTGACCCCCCCCGGTTTTCCGAGAGGGTTCGAACCGGTAGTGACCCCCCCCGGTTTTCCGCCAGCAGCGGTAGAACACGCTCTTTCATATATAAAGATCTTCATGTGTTCCCCTCGTCATTGAAGCATGCTCTCCCCTGATGCTAAGTCTGCTAAGTTGAAAGATGTGGTTGCTCGAAGAAATGTTCCCTGTTGATTCGTACTAAAAAGAGGTTCGGCATAATCGTGCCGGGCGTCTCCGATGGTGTTGTTCCTGACTTCGAGGCAGATGGTCGCCAGAACTAAATCAGGTTGTGTGTTACCTGATGTATACAAGATGTTACTGCTCCACCTGGACGTGGACAAAACTGGTTCGTTTCCCGGAATCTCGAGTAAGTGCATTCCTGGAGGAAATCCGTTTTGGCAATGTTCGCAGCTTCGCCATCTGCCAACTTCTTCATAGTCTTCTTGATGAGGCATTGCGGCATCATTCCCTAACATCAACCGTTAGCATAGGAAGCAGGGATTTCCCTCTGCCTCCAGCAGGGCAATTCGGTCGGATGCTGAGACAGTTGGGGGAAGCATGCCACGATTCGGGCCAAGAGGATACGAGTGTCGGCCGTCGACCACTCCGCAGTGATGCTGGGCTGTCCACTGCACGACTCAGAGCTTGCGACAAAGAAGAGGAGGACTCGCCCAATCATTCATAAGCCATGCGCCGTCCGGCGCGTGGGCAAGAACACAGTCTCAAGCAGCGACGCGAAATGGAGGGAAGCGGATCCAGAGGAGGAGGAGGAGGAGGAGGAGGAGGAGGAGGAGGAGGAAGGAGGAAGGAGGAAGGAGGAGGAAGGAGGAAGAGGACGAAGAGGAGGAACGACCGACCGAAGAAGGTCACGCAGAGCGACGCCGAGCAAGTCGGAGGAGGACGAGCTGCGAGCGCTGCGCACGTGCGCGCAGCCTGCTCCGCACGGGCGCAGGGTGCAGGAGGGGGACAGGGTTAGGCGAGGAGAGATGCTGGAAGGCAAAGCGACTCAGATCAAAGGCAAATGTCCGAGGACAAGCGCGTTCATGGACTGAGCGGGAGGGGGGAAGATGCGGGAGGGAGGTACAGCGGAGGCCAGTCCACAAGAAACCTTCCGCGAGAAGCCCAATCCTGAGACCCCAGGACGTCCATAGGTCTGGGAACGCCACGCCTTCCACAGCAAATCCTCGAAACCCAAGAAACCCAGGGCACCCTGGAGGCAAGCAGGGTGTTTCTTGGCATGGGCCCCCACTGTAGGGACGATGGGGGGAGGAGACAGGAGGGAAACAGAAAAAGCGGAGGCAGGAGGCAGGAAGGGACGCGGGGGCAGGAGTGACGCGGGGGAGGAGGCAGGAAGAGCCACACTAACAGGAAAACACGGGGGCGCGCCCATCCCGCCTTGGCGATACCCCACCGCCGGGCGCGCGACCGCCAGCGCGAGCAGGAGGCGCTCCAAGGTTTCCTTGCTCGCCCGGGTGGGGGGAAGTGTCGCACGGAAGCCGCCTCGAAAGGCGGGCGCAGGACGGAGGGCTGAGCAACGGAGCCCCGGCTGATCCAGGCAAGAGCCACCCCACTGATGGTCTGGATTCCAGAGGCTCTGCGCTTCCCTCCTGCGCAAAACCTCCCTCCTTTTTCCTGCCTCGTGAGTCTTCGAACTGTGCTAAATGTGGGCAGTACTCTGTTGTCAGGGTCAGGCAGGGAAACCACGTCAGCCCATGCACAGTTGCCAGGAGTGGGCAGATCACCTCCCGAAGTGTGACCTTGCGGCCTTCTTGGTCGGCTTTCCCGCAGCTGAGAGCTCGAATGGCCGAAAGCTCGCTACATCAGTGCGAGATGCTCCCTCTGATAGCTGCCGCCAATTCGTGGGTTCCCCCGCTCCGCTCCCCAGACTTGTCCCTCGCTCCGCGCTCCGCCTCGGAAGGAGAAAGGGAACGAGAGAGAGAAGGAGCGAGGAGGGAGCAAGGCGAGAAGAAGGCATCATAACCAACAGGAGGCGAGCGGGAGAAAGTTCATCCCTCCTCCCTGCTCCACGTTCTCTGGCCGCCTCCACCGTTCTGCTCCTTTCTCCTCCCCGCCCTGCCTTGCCTCTTGGGGCTGAACCCTGGAGGTGCCGGCCCGAGATGCTTGCCGGCTGTGCTCGCCCACCTCCGAGAGGCGGTCGAACGATCTTGGACGGCGTGCCGGCCGTCCTTCGCTGGTGCCGCCTCCCCGAGCGCAGCTGCACGGCGCTTCGACGGGAGGCCCGGGCAGCGCCGTGCGCGCTGGGCTCGCCACTCCACTGCCTCGAAATAACCGCGGCGGCGCCGCAGGTGGTTGAGTTGCGTTGAGTTGTTTCACCCGTCGCGGTGCTGTTCCTTTTGCCCTTCTCTGCACCCTCGTGCCTCTCCACTGACACCACCCCTTCTCCTTTTCATGCCTCAGCATGCTGCATCATACATTGTATGATGAGTCCTTCCCCTACTCCTCCCCCGCTCCTCCTCGTACTCCTGCGGCCACTTCTGTGCAGTCGGGTCTGCAGAGGAGCACAGCGCATCTCCCTCCCACTTTTCACCTCCTCCTTCTCTTCCAGCCGCTGCTGCCACGCTGCCGGGGGGGGGGGGGAAACTCCATGTTGCTGTCCGTACTGTTGCTACGCTACCAGCCGCTACCCACCTCATTTCGGCATTCCGGCGCGCGCGTCGCCAGGCGAATCAGACGAAAGAGCGGCGGGCAGAACGTTGCGCGCAGCTAATTTTAGCTGGATCCACCCATACGGAGATGCACGCACAGACCCCGCATGCTTGAACAGAAAGATCGAGCAGGTCGCCCATTGGCTGAGGGAGACAAAGGGAACACCAAGGCAAGGGGAGAGGCAGATGCTCGTTTTTGTCACCATTTGCGGCAATAACAGCCACTGGCCGTGGGTAGCGCTTGGGCGGGATGGGGCACGTTGGGGCGGGGGGCGCTACGATCGCCATAGTGTGCGCCGAAACACCAGCACGTGTGGGGGGGGTCGAGGCCCCCCCCCCCTACGCTCGATTGGTACCCTTACAACTACCCTCGGGGAGGGGGGGCGGCACCAGCATGTGACGGGGGCCCCATGCCCCCCCCCCTTGCCCCACCCACGAGCGATCGCCACTGTGACCCAGGGGGGCGAGGGGGTTGGCCCGGGCGACGGCCGTTACGCGCCAGAGGATGGCACAACATTTTTTTGCGTCGGCGGCGAGGCAAGGGTCGTTTGCACGCGGAAAGGCCTAAGCGGGGGTGTCGTTAGAGCGAATTGACCCACCAAGCAGGAGGGCGAAGAGGCGGAGGACGCGGCCGAAAGCGAGGGCGGAGGGAGCGAGCCGCTCAGGGGGACGGGTCACGCCCCGAGCGCGGTGACACAAAAACACTCGCAGGAAGGAGGGGGGAGACAGAAGCAGCAGACCCAGCAAAGCGGGCGCGCCGCGGCGCCGCCGCCGCGGGCGCGGCCGCCGCCGCGGCGCGCGGGAGGCCCGCACACGCCGCTGGCCAGCCCTTCGGGCGGCAGGGGCCGCCCGCCGCCGCGGCCCGCGCCACGGAAGGCCGCGGCGCAAGGTCGCCGCGCCGCGCCCGCGGCGCCGCGGCTCGCGCCGTCCATGGGCCGGCCGGCCATTCGAAGCGCGGCGCCGGCCGTCGCGCCCGACGCAGCCGCTGCCCGCCGTGCCCGCGCCGGTGCTCATCATCCAGGGGGCCCGGCTGCCGGGCTTCGCGCTGGGGCGGCCCCCCGTGCAGCCGAGCGCAGTCAGAGGCCTCCCGACGAGGTGTACTTGCTTCTGCGACCCTGGATCGTGGAAGAGGTCCAGCCTCTGAGGCGAACGCGCGCCCAATGTGGCTGCTCCCCGGGGATCGACGTCTGAGGAAGGGGGGTTTGCATGGCCCGCGCCCGAAGTGCAGCTCGACGTCTCGGGTGGGCTCAATCGGACGCTGAGGTCTCGAGCAAGGTTGCTTCAATTTAATCGCCGTTCAAGAGCGCAGGTCTAACGAACTCCAATCCCATCTTCCTGGTAGCACTGGCCAATGATCAAGATCCTTCTGCTCCCCACTGCCACACTCCTCCTGCCGGCCCCTCCGTCCCATACTATTCCCGCTACGCGCTCGCTGGAAGTCGGATGGCGCCAATTTGTACACTTGCACCGGTCCTGGTTGGGCCGACCTTGGAACACACATCGGTGAATGTGCCTTCCAGGCCAAGGCTGGAGGCTACATGCACCGATCCTGGGCCCAGGATGGGCCCGGATCGGCGCCCTACGGTGAGCCTGGATCTCCTGCGTCGCGATTCGCTCAAAACGTGGGCGCCAGGACGCTTAGGCATCTTTGAAGGGGCCCAGGGATACACAACTAAATACACACACCCACGATCCCTGATATATTACAATATAGTTTCTGAGTTTTCGTCTTCCCCCCGCTTCCAATATTTTCCGATATTATTCTAAGGGCCGACAATGAATTGTGTCTGTGTTTTCTCCCTCTGAATCTTCCCTGAGGCCAAATTTTCACCTGGATTTGTTTGTTAGCGACCCCGCGGCCCGGCAAGCTCCTGCGCTCCACGACGTGAGTTATCGTTTCCGCGGGCCATAGATAAACCAACAACTCATTTTTGAAGCTGCGGCTCTTCAACAAGGGACCTGCGGCACATTTGGCCTTCGAAGCCGTAGCGAAAGGGAGAGATGAACAACACGTGGCGCGGGCGACGACGGCGAAGACGAGGACATGGCGGAGAGAAGCGCAAGTGCTTCTACGAGCAACGGCCCGCCCCACGGACCAGGTGCGTGACGTCATGGCGCGCTGCCCCGCGCCACGCGAAAACGGCGACGGCCGCTCGAGCCGCCGCCGAAAGCAGAAACACAGACGAACAGCCGCCGCCAATGGATGGAGAGGGACGTAGCGGCGCCAAAACGTCAGAGCGTCGTCAACCTCCTCCTGCTCCTCCTCCTCCTCCGAGGAGGAGGAGGCGGAGGAGAAGGAGGAGGAGGAGGAGGAGGAGGAGGAGGAGGAGGAGGAGGAGGGGGGAGGCGGGCGGCGGCGTGAAGCCCAATGAGACACCAAGAAGGCAACAGTGACAGGGGAGTGCTGCCAGCGAGGCGCCCGCACCGCTCAGCCGACGGGCAAAAGGTCGAGCGAGCACGCTCGCGGCCGCCAAAAGACCCGAGGACGACCGCCAAATATTCAGGGGGTCGCGGCGGGCCGCCGCGGTCCCTGGCATCTTTGGCGGGCGCCACCCCCCGGAGCCCGAACCAAAAAGTCCGAGGAAGCCTCCCTGGAAAGCAAAACGCAAGCGCGCACACACACACAATAATCCATGGAGAGGCTTCGGCCAAATGATTGGCAGGCCCCACCACCAGCAGGCCCACCCCCAGGCCGCCCCCGGGGGGGTCCGGCGAGTGCAGAGGGCAGAAAAAGCCACCCTCAGAAGAAGCACCCCGATGCGAGCCAGGCCCTCCGCAAACGCAGCCAGGGGCGGGGCATCGAAAAGGGCTGGGGCCGTCTCTCGTGAGTGCCCGATGCTGTCTAGTACACGCCGATTGTCGGGGTCGAGGGTGACTGCACTCTCCTCCCTTGGGAGTTGGGGGGGAGGCGGGCGTCGGGCCGCGGGGCGCGGCTGGCGGGCGGGGCGCGGCGGGGCGTGGGTGTGAGGATGCCGACGAGGAGGGACTGCTCGGCATCGGGCGGGCGGGCGGGGGTGGTGGTGCCAGGGGGGGGTGGGGCGAGGCGCGGCGGGGAGCAGATTGGAGGATGCCGACGGGGAGGGGCTGCTCGGAGTCGGGCGGGCTGGCGGGGGAGGCCGGTGGCGGGGGGGGGGCGAGGCGCGGCGGGGAGCAGATTGGAGGATGACGATGGGGAGGGGCTGCTCGGAATCGGGCGGGAAGGAGGAGCAGGTCTGCGGGTGGCGATGTCCCACGAAGGGCGGACTGGCTTTCCAAATGTCAGGCCGCGGAACATGATGCAAAGCAGAAGTGGACCTGAAGACGCTCCGAACTAAGATGGTCGAGCAACAATGTGGTAATGGATAGGGAATAGGTGGTAATATCTGGCCCCGCGGAAAAGATAACTCACGTAGTGGAGCGCAGCAGCCGGCAAGGACCAAGGGACCCCTGCGGGCAGATGCTTGCCAAATATCATCTGTCGTGATTGCTTCGGAAACAGAGGCAGTCTGGTCTTCGGGGCAGAACTCGGATCTCCGGCAGCCACTCGGGACAGTCCCAACCCAGGAGCGCTCTCTGCGAGGCGTAGCTGCTGGAAATCATCCCGAAGCGAGAAGACCGGCAAGAGGTCGCCAAGGGCTCGTCAAGGACGCCGTGTATGCTTGACACCCTACGACGCCGTGTACGCTCGACACACTACGACGAATCTCAGAGGAGAAAGCAAGACCACCGCAGCAGAGAATCCAAGGGGGGGGACCACCCACGGGCGCTGGCACGCCCAGGCGTCACTCAGTAATTGCCGGGCGTCGCTCGCGTGCCAGCGCCCCGGGGTGGCTTCCCCCCGACGGGTTTTCGGCGGCGGTTGTCTTCGTTTCTCATGCGAAAAAGTGGGCTTTGTCTCTCCTCCTCCTCCTCCTCCTCCTCCTCCTCCTCCTCCTCCTCCTCCTCCTCCTCCTCCGCCTCCGCCTCCTCCTCCTCCCCGCCCGCGCGACGCGTCCTGCAGCTCCTCCAGGCCCCAGGGGGACCCGGCCCCCTCGAGGCTGCCGTGCAGGAGGGGCCCGCGCACGCCGTCGCCCAGGGACGCGAGCGTGAGGGACACGTCCTCGGCGATGGCCTGGGAGGGTGGAGGTGGAGGGAGGCGGACCAACAACCCCCCCTGGCACTCCCGCGAGGAAGAGCGAGCGCAAATCCCAACCCCCAGCCACCTCCGCGGACGCGACGCGGCCAACCCCCCCCTGCACGCAACGAGCAACTCCCCCCCCCCCAGCACCCCCGCGGACAAGCCACGGCCACCCCCCCCCGGCATTCCATGGGGGGGCGATTATTAAAAGATTCAGAGTAGCCATTGTGGCTCAAGCCATCTGGCTCAAATGCGACACCGTCGCCATGCGGCTCCGTGCTTGACTGCATCCATGCCATAAGTAAGGCTGGCCCAAGACGGGCCGCCTCCTCCAGCGTTCTCCCATCCGCTCCCTAGGGTGAACCCTCGTGCGGGCGTGGGTCCTCTTGTCAGCACGACGCCTCCTCGCTCGCAGTGCAGCGGTCTCTCGGCGGCTTGACGGACGCCAGCGGCACGTCGCTTGCGCAGGCCTGCGGGTGCTCCAAGAACAGATTATGGAAGTGGTGCAAGTTTTGCCGAGGTCCACTCGCCCCGGCGGAGCTACCGCTTCGTCAGGATCGCCCTCCTCGTGGTGCTCGCTCTCCCGCTCGCCCGCCACCTTGGTGGACGCAGCACCACTTGCAGTGGGACCAACAGCAATGGGCCGAGCTTCCTGGGCACAAAGCATGAAGAGCACGTTCGAGCAATCGGGTCTCCTTCCGCCTTCAGCCTGAAGCCGTGGGAGCGGACAGTCGGTGCGACGGCCCAGATGAGTCCAAGCTCCCGCAGAGGGTGGCTCTGCTCACAGGCACAGGCGACAGTGCAGCGGCCGCGAAGTACCAGGTCAAGCTGGAGGAGCTTCGCAACTCCAGAGCAGACTCGGAGGTGTCTGTCGACATGGCCAAGGTGGTCCAGGACAAAGCTGAAACCAGGCTCCAGAAGGGCGTCGAGAAGCGTGAGCGCCTCCAGGAGCAAGTGGAGGAGGCACAGGCAGAGGTGCAAATCGAGTCCAAGAGCCTCCACTTGGCGCGCCCCAGATACAAACGATCTGTGCGAAGCCTACACACGATTGGCATCGAGTACGAAGCAACGCCTGAGGCATCGGCCCACCCTAACTCGACTTGGCCAAGCTGTTGGACGGGTCCGAGCTGGAGCTGGAAACTGGGGGGCTCTTCGGCTTGGTGCAGTTGGAGAACGCGGTCAGCGCTGAGGACCGCACCTAGGCGTCGAGGCGCGAAGAGGCACTACACAAGCAGCTCAAGGACATGGTGCAGGCCAGCTTCGGCGAGCTGCGCACAATGGCGGCGGCGTTGGCCTACCAGCAGAAGCAGCAGAAGCACAAGCGGGCCCAGACGAAGCGCAAGCCCAACCCCGAGGCGGCGGACGGCGCGGCAGGAGCCTCTGCTATTGGACTCGCCCCGCCAGCACCCACACCTGCGACGGGCAGTGATGGGGCCAAGCCCGAGCGCCCAGCTAGCCCAACACTGGCGTCGGCCGCAGCAGCAGCTCCGCCAGCAGGCAGCAAGGGGGAGGGCAGAGCTGAGGTGGCTGCTGCAGGGGCCAAGCTGGAGCAGAAGCCTGGGAGAGCAGCCAAGAAGGAGGCCGAGCAGTGCCTCTAGCAGCACCTCACCAACCCGCCCAGCCAGAGCATCTTGGCATGCCTGCAAGCTGCTGACATGTGTGCGATGGGGTCATCGATTACGACGGCAACAAATGCGGTCCTTGGTATGCCTGGAATGACGATGCGCAAAGGATCACGGCGGCTTCAGACTAGTTCTGTCACGGTGGTGTCGGCTGAATCGATCAGCAATCCGTCAGCGACGGCCCCTCCAACCTCACGGTACGTCACGCCAACCCAGGGCACACACAGTCGACTCTGACTACCACTTACATCGAGCAAGACCCTCACGGTTATCTGGGCACATGGCATCTTGCTGGCTGTCTAGCTGAGTCCATGTCCGACGGCTTACCAGAGGGAGGCGGGCTGCCTCAGAGCATGGCAGCCCTCTTCGTGAACCATGGCGCATCCCTCGCCACATAATGTTGCACCACCCACACAGGAATGGTGCATAGGCACGTACGTTTTGATACTTCTGGCGTGGGTGGGTCCAGGATATGTGGGTGGTTACCTGGCGACGATCAACCTCACCCTGG